TGGGAGCTCTGGGAGCTCAGCACCTCTGAAACAAGCTCCCCAATCTTCCCAAATGAGGCCTTCCCTGGAGATCAGGGTCTCTTAAGCCCCTCGTTTCACAAACACCAGTTTCTTCCTTACCCAAACAACCAGAGTTGCTCATAAAATTTGCGTTTTCCTCCCTTGGTAGATTTTCTCCTCAGAGAAAATGAGCATACAGATGTGTTTCTATGAAGAATTTTCTGTGAAATGCTGTGGAAGTCAATGCTTCTGAAAGCCTCATGCACAACTTAAGCCCTTAGGGTAGGCCCCTTAATGCTGATACTGTGTTTGGGAAGCCAGGAAAGGTATAACTGCTCTCTCATATGCGTGCCAAGAATACTCAGATTTTATCTAAAACAGTCACTAGACTTGATTGCACTCAAGTTTATTCCTCTGAACTTCTCAAAACAGCAAGAAATGTTACCTCCATTCCCCTACCATCTCTCTTTCAGAAAGGAAGAAACATGACCTCAGAGGACTATCATGCTACAGAACATTCCTTTTCAAGTAAAAAGTCTTAGTTTTCTGTTGACATGATAGTCATGACAAAGATTAGCCCAAAGGCTGTTTTTCTCTCTCTCAAGGAACTTCCTTGCCAGCAAATGGTAGTATGAGCTGTATTTTCACAGCTAAAGTTTCCTGAATTGTTTCTGAGTTAATACCCCAGACAGAGAGAAGACAGACTTTCTTTCAAATCATTCCTTGGCCTAATTTGTTGTACAAACTACGAGGTGCAGTGCTGTTTTTCTAAGAGGGAGACACATTTTAGTAGCAACTGGGATGAGGTTGGCTTCATAACAGTTGCTGGGTGACAGTTCATGAGGGACCAAATGACACTGGTGTTGGAAGCAGGAGGTTTCATATCCTGGCCTCATACAGCCTTCGGATCTTTGTCCTGCTTTATGGATGATGACGGCAGGCTGTAGATTTTAACTCTCAAGAGTTTCATGCTAATTGCACAGTAAAAGTTCTAGACAGGTGCTGGCTTAGTGGATGTCTAAGGATTAATTGTGAGCTTCATGTCCTGTCCTCCCCTGCACAGAGGGGATTCTGCCAGTGAGAAAATCCCCAGGATACAGCCTTCAGAAAGAGCTCAGAGGAACTCCCTCTGCTTCAGGCACTGCTGTGCAACCAGAGTTTAATTTTCAGCTCCTCAGATGTGTGTTGGTACCAGGTTTGCACTGGGTCGTGAGGCAGTTATTCTTTATTTGAACAACGTAAGGAGGGAAAAGCATCAAAACCAGCAAATCTTACCCTTGTTGTTTTACTGAAGCATCCCTTGAGGTGACCGGTCCTTGTGCCTAGACGTCTCTCTGAGCTCATTGCCTCATGAAGCAGCAATGGCTCTTGGTGTTACCACCAGTATCCAGGTCGCCTTTAGCTGGCCCTGCTGGTAAGCAGCCGGTCAGCATTCCCTTCCTGCCTTAGCAGTCGCTAAGGTTTATGAATCAGTCCATATGCCTGGTCTGACACAGACATGCTGGTCCTTATGGATGACAGCTGTCACACACCTCGTGTATCCAGTAGGTATGGAGAGGTAGGTATGGAGAGCACTGACTCAAGAAGGGGTTTATGGGTCAGGAAAAAGGGGTGATTAACCGGAATGGCCCAGAGGACTGATGAGAAGCCTAGAAATACAAATGGAAAATTGTGTTCAGGAAAAGTGAGGCCCTCTTAGCTCTGTATGAAGCACTAGAGAGAACCGCTGCAGTGCCTGAAACTGTTTTGATATCCATTTTGTTGTGACAATCTTGTCCTCAGTGGCAAGAGAGGGTAAACAGAGAGCCCTAAGGAGTGTGGGAGATTTAAAGGTAATGGCCTATTTAGTTGATCAGAAAGAAGGCTGCCATGCAAATCGGTTTATAGTGTAGTAAAGTTAAAGCAGAAAAAAAAAAAAAAAAAAAAAGGAAGACTACTAACTACTAAAACGTTCCTAGTCCAGCGGAGAAACATATAGCTAGATGCAGTGCTTGGAAAGTGAAGCCTTAACATTAGAAATGAAACCTCAGGAAAGTAAGGAACTGATGATCAAAAATATATTTAAGTATAAAATAATAAGCATAATAAATCCAATGTGTTAGCTATAGCTTAATGGTTTTAAAGGATAACTGTACCTTCCTGGAGGATGTGTGCTACCTAGTATGGGAAGAATTTACCTGGCCAAATAGCCTATGAAAGTGAGTAGCTTGAGATATACCAGGAGTCAGGCAAACTATCCAAGGGGTTTTCCTTCATGCTCTGTAAAACCATGAGAAAGCAGTTGGATTAGGTTAGCTGGATAAAAACTCCTTAGCGTGCGACGTGGCTCCTGAGGCAGTGGAAGTGGATCCCCTTCCCGCTGCAAGGCCTGGCTAGGGGTGCTGTGGTTAAAGCCCTGCTGTGGACGGGTCGTTAGTGACACGGGTCTCGCCTTCTCCTGAGGTCCAGGTGTCAGGTCAGCCCCTGCAACGTCTGCGGCCTCTCCAGGCACAAACTCTTCTCATATAACTCATTATTGGCAAAGCTCTGCTTCAGTCTAGAGCCGGATCGCCCCTAGAGACACACTACTTGTTTGGGATGAAGATATTCTTAGCTCATGAACTGACTTCTGGAAGAAAAAGTAAAATGGGGAAAGCTACCCACATTATAACAAAAGCATATTCAAGAATTCAAGATCTTTTTTTAATCCAAGGAAATATACTGTATATTTTATTGCGGCATTTAAAAACCAATTACTGAAATATTTTCTCTAGTCAGAGCAACTCTGGTTACATTTTACTGACTCTTTTAAACGTGCCCTTGACTCTGACACCCTTGTCAAAGGCTCTGGCTGTGTCACGGAAAGCTGCGGCCATGTTCGCTTCAGAGCCAAATCCCACCCTTTGCGTTACATATATCTGGATGTGTACGTACATATGTGTGTATTTTCCCCCGTTGGCTTTCGGGGAGCTGGAGGCCCGGCTCTGCGCTCGGGAGGGCGAGCGGAGCGGGCTCCCCTTGGGCTCTGCCGCGCGCCGAGCCGCGCATCCGCTGATGGATTCTGCAGGAGAGGGGGCTGCTGCCCCAGGAGCGGGAGGCAACCGGCACCCGTGGCCGCTTGGCTACCTTGGAGCGACTGCTGGCCAAGGATTTCCGACAGGCTGCTGGAAGGGGCCGCCCGTTCCGGCTGCAAAGCCGGTTTTGTAGTTTATGCGTTTATGCCGCCTTCTCTTCTTTTAACGGATATGCCTTCAAATTGGCCATTTCCGATCTTCCGAGTAGCTGCAAAATGTCAGACGTAGCGTATCTCCCCGCTCCCCCGTCCCCAATCAGCCTGTTGCGTCTAATTAATAATGACAAAATTAAGCAGCAATGTTGGCCCCCGTAGTTACGATCTCCGTAATACAAACGCAAATCAAAAATAATGCTGCTGATCCCGTGTCGTGCTAAGGACCCAATCCAGATTTTGCCATGGGCCTCTTCAATCTTTGCTAAAAGAAATAGGCCTCTCCCGCCCCGCAAAGGGCTAAAAATAAGTCCAAAGGGCTACGGTGCTATATTTGCTTTTGGTTTTTATTATCAACAATTAATTAATGGTACACTCTTGGAAAACTATATGCACATGTAGAAATATTTCCCCCTTTTAAATAGAAGCATTCATTTTAACCACATATAAATAAATCTGGAAATCTGGAACATAATTTATGACGATTATGCTCACAAACATATTCCAACAGGTAGGGAAGAAATGAGACGACATGCGACTGATAACAAAAATGTATGTCTTTGCCTGAACCTGGTCTCTCTAAACGGAAAGGGAACTGAACCCGTGAGATCCTTATTTTCTCCATTAAGACACGCCATAGAGACTACGAGAAGGGAAAACATTATTTATACGGTCAACTAGACAAGTCTGTACTGATATTAACACTATACAGTTGAGCCACAGAACACAGTTGTAGAAAGACACGGAAAAAGTTAAAGCATACCTGTCAACATTCAACTAATAGCTATACTTTGTGCCTCAAAATAAAATTAGAAAACCCTAACAGAGGTGCCTAAAAACTGCGTGAACCGGGTAATAATAATAATTAATAATAATTAATAATTAATTAATAATAAATTACACTCCATCCGCCGCGGCCCTGCAGGGCCCGGGGCAGGATCCGCAGAGCCCCGCGGATGGCGGAGCCGGGCCCGGCAGCGAGGGGACCCGCACCCGAGCGAGGGACAGTGACACGGGGCGGCGGAGAGAGCAACGCCCCTCG